GTGGGTTTTTCAGGGCAGGGGAGTGATTCTTCCTTCAGGACTTGGTGAATGAACGATGTGTCACCCAGTGAACGATGCTGTGACTTCAGCTGCAGGGGAGGGGCTTGTTCAATGAATGAACTCACCGCTGTGTCACTCACTCGTGTACTGCACCGGTAAGACGGGGCTCTGAAGCACTGACTGATTCAGTGAACGAATCTTTTGAACGAATCGTTTGAATGAACGGATTCAGTACAGTCAAAAGAACTGTTCTCCCCATCACTTATACAGCACAGTATCACGATATTTTGTCTTGTGATATAAAGATATAGTATCATCTCATTGACCAAGTATCGATTTTTCAAATTAATTGCTAATATGAAGTCAAATCTATGATAATGGAAAAAATAAAATCAACTGTTTGTCCAGTAAAGTTGGCAGAGGGGACATCATAGAGCAGAAGAAAGTTAGTGCAACAAATATAAAAGGTTTGCAAGATGAGCTACATGAAAATAAAATACAAACATAAATCACAATATCACAATATATTGTATCGTGATACTCACTGCATTGCAAAATGTAAAAATTCGCAATAATATCGTATTGCAGCCCAAGTATCGTGATAATATCGAACCGTGGGGCCATTAGTGATTCCCACCCCTATAGATGAATTAAGCGATCAGACTGTAATATTTAACTAAACAACCATCATAGCCTCCAGCTTTTTATCTGAGTGGTTCATTTACATTTAAATCCCGAGTCATGAGGGGTCATTGATTTTAAAACCCTTCAGAAACATTCACAGGCCTCTACATCCCGATCTGATGTCATCTGAACTTTTGTCTCACACAAAAGACAATGAATCTATTCATGCGTTTTTCTGTCACAAATAATTGCTATGATAAGATTCACAGTAAACTTCATTGTGTTTGTCACAATCTGTTTCCTGCCACTGTGCGGGGCTGATTCGGTGACAATCTTGATCTGACGGCGACAGCAAACGGGTCATTTTTGAGACGTGATGTGGTTCGTGTGGGCCTGAGGCTGCGGTTTCTAGTCAATGCAGGACAAAGCGCTAAAATAAAGATGTTTGGTCCAAATTGAGAGTTTAGTTGTATCCTAGTGTGTCACTTTAAGTTATCGATATGTTTCTGCTGCCCTTGAATATTGTTAGCAATACTCTCAGATCCATTCACGTTCACATTAACTTTACTTTTGAGCTGAATTAGCCAATAAACTGATATCAAAGTTAATGTCATTGTCAAAAGTTGAACCTTTTTGATTCATCTCTGCAGATATCCCTCACGCCACTCAGATTCTCATCCTTTAAACAGAATAAAACTTAAATCTCCCTTTCAATCTATCCTGTTTTAACACTTAAGATGACTTCCCTTCCTCACAGACCCTGAATCACAACCCTCGTGTCAGCGTCATGGGTGAGTCTGACATGGAAAACATTAACTGCGCTGCAGCGCTGCGGCTCTTGAAAAATGAACACGCTTTGGCTGTAAAACGTAGGTGTGGTGAGTGAAGATGAGAACGTTATGTGTCCTCAAGGCGCTGGGTAGGATGGGCAGGAAGGATAAGGTGGAGCTAAGACAAACGAAGAGACACTGACACAGAACCATGCAAACGTCATTCTGAGGTCAAATATGTGCGTCACCTGGTGCAATGTGCAGCGCTTTGTGTCTCGCTCAAATAGCCACAAGGTATCAGTAATAAAACACTTTGCAGAATACTGCCAAGTCCCCCTAATGGGTGTTTGAGCTCTCGATCATACATGAAACTGGACTGAGTTTGTACGATCCGGTTTGCACAGATCTCCTCCTCCGTGTTCTGGCATCCCTAAAACGTCCATTCAGCTTTTCTCTCGGACTTTGTGAAACCTCTACCCCAGAGATGAACTCCAACCCAAATCCCTGATGGAGTGTCCTGTGAAACCAGAGACATCAAACCAACCCAGCCTCTTAAACAAACTCACAGCAACTGTTGAAAGGAAATGGGAGTTGGTAGAAGGTATTAAAGGGAATTAGCGGCCTTAAGTGGTGTGCCTGCGCTGGGGAAGGCCTCTGGAAACTTCCTGCATGTGTTGAAAATGTTCCCGTGCCCTTGATTTGGAGGTATGCCGCCCTCTAATCCCCCCACCCACCCAAACCCACAACACTTTCTCCTTTTCATGGAAGAGTGGCTTCGCATACTGTCCCTGAACTGTTGGCAGCCTGCTGGAAATGTTGAGTGTTATTAATGGTTGTACTTTATTAAAGAACAAGTACTGAAGTGATTAAAAAAGGAGCATAATTTCCAGTAAAGGGCCACTGACTCATTGGTAGACTGTGTAAAAAATTGACCTTTTCTCAGTGACGTCAACCTTTGGTTTCTGAAGAAATACTGTGAAGTCCAGATATGCAGGGGTGTAAATGACTCTTATGATGGATCACTTCCTGTATGTTGGGTTTATATTTTTGCAGACTGTACAATTTTATGCTTTTATTTTAGAGTACTTTCTGTTTAGTATGTAGCGAGTACCTAATAGACGGCAAACGGATGCCGAAAAACGCAGCATGGATGGAGTTTTTTCATGTTTCTTGTTCATTTAAGCACCTGGCGGAAGTGAGAAACAAGGTATTTAGTTTCATGACTTTTACATGTGTTTTTATAAATGTGTTTACCATAGACTGTATATACTATGGACAACTTGGTTACGCCTTCCACCAGTATACAGATTTGAAGCCAAAAAGCTCTCGGTAATTCTGTGTTTTCTCTCCATTTCCTGAAACCAAATTTGCACAGTTTTCAGGTTGGGTAGAGTGTGTTTTACACTCTTCTTATACTGCGATCGTGTTACCTCGGAAGTCAGATATTGGAGCTGAAAATGACGTCACACCCAAGTTCCCAGCGTTTCAGTTACAAAGTCAGTAAAAAGCAAAATCGGAGATGAAAACAAGATGGCTAGATCTTTGAAAGTTATTTTAGCGCTTGCCTTATATTCAGACAAAGCAAGTGCTAAAATAACTTTCGTCTTGTTTCCGCCTCTGATTTTGCTTTTTGCTGACTTGGTAACTGAAACGCTGGGAACTTGGGTGTGATGTCATTTTCAGCTCAGACTTCTGACTTCCGAGGTCACTCGAACGCACCATAACTCAGTAAGTCCACGCAACACAAACTCAAAACTTCCATACAAAACCTCGGACATTTGAAAGATTTTATAAACTCCCCGTACAAAGCTGGACAGCCCGGACAGCACCCAAAAAAGAGGACATGTCCCGGTAAAAGAGGACATATGGTCACTAAATTATACAGCTTTAGGTTTTTCTTTATTTTGTATATTTTTTGTCTGTTTTTCTGTCTTGTAGCTCTTACGGTGTTACTAAAGAGTCAATTGGAATAGAGGCATGTTCAAATATAATGTCAAGGCTGAACATTATTAAAAAGGCTTCAGAAAACATCAGTACACTTTATCATTGTCTGGCCGGTGTGTCCAGACTTTTTCTTGACCAGAACTGCTCAAATGAGGCCTGCTTCAAACTGCAGTTACTCCACCTCTGCATTGGCTTCACTTTTCTGCACCTCGAGTCGCCATTTGTATTTAATGCGCTAGCAGTCAGCGTTTCTTCAGCAGGGGCTTTATGGAGGTTGAATTAATTTTCCATGCTTTATTTAGATCCTGGTCCTGGGGGTTTATATGTCTGCGACCCCCCTGATGTTTTTGTTCCCTAGGGAAAGTTCCTGCCGAGGACACACAGCTGTTCTCGACCCTTTTCACATGGACCTGTATTTTTAATCCCTGCCCCTCCCTCTTCACTGTTAATCACATGTGGAAATATTCATTCACATCAGTGTATAGCAACAGCTGGGGGGCTTGTGTTGCCAAACAAGAGGAATGTCATTTTAGAGTTAATTCAAATGAATGATAATTGCACAGAGCGCACGAGAGGTTATGCACCAAAATAGAAGACAGGATCCAAATGTATGATATGACGCACTTTCCGAGCACAAGACTTTAAATGCATAATTGAAATTTTATAGAAGTAAAAAATAAAAGTGCATGACAAGTATTAAAGCTCCAGGACAAACGACACATTTGTGAGTCTTTTACAAAGGCGCTCTTTTTTAAACGATTATGTCTTATCTGAAATATGTTGTGATGATTATTAAAGTGGAGACCGAGCGGCTTTAAAAATGACTCTTTTTTTTAAATTGAGGTTGGATGAGGTTCTTGACAGTAGGAATAGGGATGCCAGTAAGTTTGGCCACTGTGACAAGAAACCAGCGCAAGAGCAGAAAGTGTCAGCTTTATAATGTAATAAAGCTCATTTAAATCCACCACTGTAAGGCTCTATTTGAAAAACATGACACTGTATTTGGTCTTTAGGAGGTCGACTTTCTTCTGCATGTGTTATCCTGCTGACAGAGCACTGAAAAGTTGTTTGCAGCTCAATAAGAAGACCAGTTTCCACTCAGCTTCTCTGATGTTCAGATTTACTTTCTGAATATTGAAGAACGTGGAGCTGCATGCAAGCTCCTGGTATCTTCTGACTCTGAAAGGTCCTAAAATACTGTTGTTACCAAGTCCCACTCCTCAAGGCAAGTTTGCAATTAAAGGTATATTCCGGCGTAAAATTAATTAAGGGTCAAACACACCTTAACACAGGCTTCATGCTCGAGAGCGAGCATGAGCGAGAGAGCGAGCGAGTCCCTACTCATGGAAAAGACTGAAGCGCTTCACGAAGCTAACAAAACAATCACCAAACTTAAACTCCGCATTCAAAAACTCTCCGATGAGCTTAAGTCAAAATCCACTCTCCTCACAACCTGCATTGATGTGGCCCACCAGCAATCCCTCCACCTATTCTCGCTCCAATCAACCCTCCAGGACACGCTACCCTGGGAGCCTCAAAGCCCGTCCACCACGTCCAAACCGCCATCCACCGCTGCATCCAACCACGACTCAACATGGACTGAAATAACCACACGCGGCAGGAAAATCACTAACACCACCCCCTGGAACCCGGCCGGGCCTACCTCAAGCTCCACTCCAAGCCGCTTCGAGGCTCGTGAGAATCCTCCTGAGCCTGCCAACACCAGCATGGACCAGTCCCTTCTCGACGGTGACGTGGTGGCGTCCTCTGCAGCGGCTGCCGGAGCTCCCATGGCTCCTACACGGCCACCCGGCGGAGCCCCCGGGCCTTCGTCCACGTCCTCCGGTGCCCTCGCGGCGTGCCGGCTCGAGGACCGGGTAGCCTCCGCTCTTCTGGCGACCAGCTCCCGGGCGTCACCGGGCGCTGGCACTAAGAACACCTCCCTGCCGGCGCACAGTGGGATTCCCGTGTGGCCTGGCACTGGCGGAGGGGACCCGTCTCCGTCGGTCCCTGGTCGCGCGCGGTGTCCCGGAACCCGCCTTGACCACCGCTCGGAGAGCCGGCCCGCGTCCTCGGCCGCCCGCAGGAGGTTTCTCCGGGACGCAGTCCGACGGAACTCCGCCGGGCCCGTTTCAGCTGCCCCGGACCGAAGTGGCAGACCATCCCCGCAGCCGCTGGCATCCACCGTATCCACCGCACCGCTGAGTCCCCGTACCCCGACCACCAGCCCTGCTTCGGACACAGGAGCAATGCACCCCCCGCCGCTGTTTCCCCCCACCACCTTGATCATCGGTGACAGCATCATACGAGGTATTCGTTATTTTAATGCCATCACTCGCTCTTTCCCCGGTGCTACTGTCGCCGACATCACAGCTAAACTCCCCGGTCTTCTCCAATCACTTCCTGCCTCTATTCACCGCATCATTGTCCACGTTGGCACAAATGACACGGCTCACCAACAGTCTGAACAGACAAAAAAAGACTTCAGGACTCTTTTAGATAGCCTTGAGCGCAGTGGCAAAACTGTTTTTATAAGTGGCCCTCTTCCAACACTAACACGTAGCATCGATCGTTTTAGCCGCCTCCTCAGCCTAAACTCCTGGCTTCGAGCCCTCTGCAGCACCCTCTCCACCCACTTCATAGACAATTTTAACCTGTTCTGGAACCGACCCCCATTCTTTTCTAATGACGGACTTCACCCAAACAAACTGGGCCATCAGACACTTGCCGCTAATATCCAACACCACATACACACCAACTGACTATCATTGTTTACATACTCCCTCTCATTCTCTCCCACTACCCCACCTGGAAACAGCGCCCCCTGAGGCCCCCTCCGGAACCCTCGCCCTCACCACCCTCACCACCGGCTCCCCCAGCAGGCCCCAACTGGTACTGCGCACCATCCCCATTGCCCCCACCACATCAAGCTCCCCCTCCTGGTCCAAACAGCTACTACACCCTTCAACCATAGACTCTCCTTGCAAACCATTGCAAACAATTAAAACAATTACAACTACTGGAACCTCCCGTTCAAATCCCATGCATCCAAAAAGAAGGACAAGAAATCTATCAAATCTCCGCTACCTTCCCCCTGCCTCACTGCCCACCCCACAGCCCCCTCCCCTGAAGATGGCCCTTCAAAACACCCGCTCCCTCAATAACAAAGGACACATCCTAGCTGACTTCATAACAGACAATAACCTGGACTTCCTCTATCTAACTGAAACCTGGCACAACCATCTCGACCTCTTTCCACTCAACCAAGCCACCCCCCCGGTTACTCCTATCTGCACCAACCCCGCCTCACTGGACGAGGCGGAGGCGTCGCAGTTATTTACAAACAAACCCTCAAGACCACCCCCGCCCCCACCCTGTCCCTCCACTCATTTGAAAATATCTCTGTCAAACTCCCTGGCCCCACCCCTCTGGTCATTGTTACTATCTACCGTCCCCCAAAGCCCCACCCATCATTCCTCTCGGATTTCTCTGAATTTGTCACCCACCTAAACACCATCTCATCCTCTGTCCTGCTGCTTGGAGACTTCAACTTTCACATTGACAACCCCACCTGCAAACAAGCTTCTGATTTCCTGGATCTCCTCGACACCCTCAATCTCACCCAGCACGTGCACTCCCCCACCCACTCCCATGGCCACACCCTCGACCTCGTCTGCTCCACCGGCATCTCCATCCACCATCTCTCCACCACCAACCTCTATATATCAGATCACCTGGCTGTCACTTTCAACGTCGACCTCCCCCCTCTGCCCCACAATGAAAAACGACAAATTACCTTCAGAAACCTCAAATTCATCTCACCACAGGACCTCTCCGCTTCCCTATCTGCCACCCTCACTGCATCCCCTCCCTCACCATCTGCTAAACTTCCTGACCTAATCAACTACTACAACAACACTCTATCCTCCTGCCTGGACCAGCTCGCACCTCTCAAAACAAAAACAGTTTCATTCAGACACTCTGCCCCCTGGTATACTTCTGAACTACACAAAATGAAATCCCATAAACGCCAACTGGAACGTCTATATCGCAAATCCGGTCTCACTGTCCATCTCCAAGCCTACACCGACCACCTCCACCTATACAGAACAGCCCTCAAATCCGCCTGCTCATCCTATTACTCCAACCTCATCAACTCCGGCTCCAGCAACCAAAAGGCTCTTTTCTCCACCGTCAAAAAACTGCTCCACCCCATAGACAGTACCTCCATCACCTTCACCCCGGAAAAATGCAACACATTCCTCTCCTCTTTTCAAACCAAAATCAATGCAATCTATAACTCCCTTCCCCCACCCTCCATTCCCTGCTCCTCCCCTCCTCCCCTCATCCCATCAGCACTCTCCTGCTTCTCACCTGTCTCCTCAACCGACGTGACTAATATCATCTGCTCCATGTCTTCATCCACCTGTATCCTCGATCCCATCCCATCCTCCCTCATCAAGCACTGCCTCCCCGTCATCTCCCCAGTCATAACACAGATCATCAACTCCTCCCTCAACTCCGCCACTGTTCCCCCGTCACTTAAACTGGCTGCTGTCACCCCCATCCTCAAAAAACCTGGACTCAACCCCGATGACATTAGTAACTTCCGGCCCATCTCAAACCTCCCTTTCCTGTCAAAAATCCTCGAACGTGTCATCGCATCACAAATCAAAACCCACCTCAACAGTAACAACCTATATGAACAGTTCCAATCAGGATTCCGCACCCACCACAGCACTGAAACTGCCCTCATAAAAGTGACAAATGACCTCCTCATCTCCGCTGACTCTGGCCAACTCTCCATCCTCATCCTCCTCGACCTCTCCGCTGCTTTCGACACCATCGACCATGCCATCCTTCTGTCCCGCCTACACTCCCTCCTCAATATCACAGACACCGCTCTTAACTGGATCCACTCTTACCTCACAGACCGGAATCACTTCATCCATATTAACAACTGCTCCTCCACAACCGCCCCCGTGTCCCAAGGTGTCCCCCAGGGTTCGGTGCTTGGTCCCCTCCTCTTCATCATCTACCTCCTCCCTCTTGGCCACATCCTCCATCAACACAACCTCCACTTCCACTGCTATGCTGATGACATTCAATTATATATCTCCTCCAACTCCATCACCCCCCAGACCCAACGCTCCCTCTCAAACTGCCTCTCTGACATCAAACACTGGATGGACAGCAATCTTCTTAAACTCAATTATGACAAAACAGATCTCATCATCATTGGCCCAAACTCCCTCACCCCCACAGTCACAAACTTTCATCTCTCCATCAACAACTCCATCCTCTCCCCCTCCTCCCACTGTCGCAACCTTGGCATTCTCTTCGACAGCAACCTCTCCTTCACCCAACACATTAAGCAAATCACTAAAACAGCCTATTTCCACCTCAAAAACATTGCCCGCCTCCGCCCCTCCCTCTCCTACCCTGCAGCTGAAACCCTTATACATGCATTCATTTCATCTCGTCTAGATTACTGCAACAGTCTCTTTTATGGCACCACCTCCACTCTCCTCAACAAACTTCAGCTTATCCAGAACTCAGCCGCCCGCCTCCTCACCCACACACGCTCCCATCAACACATCACCCCCGTCCTCCAAAACCTTCACTGGCTCCCCATACCCCATCGCATTCAATACAAAATCCTCCTCCTCACCCACAAAGCACTCCACAACCTCGCCCCCCTACCTACAGGATCTTCTCCACCCCTACATCCCCTCCCGCACCCTCCGCTCCGCCAATGCCAACCTCCTCACAGTTCCCCTGACCAAGCACCGAACCTGGGGGGACAGAGCCTTCTCAGTCGCCGCCCCCACCCTCTGGAACTCACTCCCACTTGAACTCAAAAACTGCACTGACCTCACCAGATTCAAAACCCTTCTCAAAACCCACCTCTTCCACACTGCCTTTCATCCCTCCTAACCCCCCCCCCCATTAGATTTTACCTGATTCTACATGTTTTTATTGACATTGTCGTAAATTTTATTACTCATTTATGTGTGTTTTATTGTTATTTGATTTTACCTGATTACATGTTTTTATTATATTGCCGTAAATTTTCTTACTTATTGATGTGTGTTTTTACTGCTTACTCTGTACAGCATCTTTGTGTCTTTGAAAAGCGCTTTACAAATAAAATGTATTATTATTATTATTATTAACACCGAGTTAGACACCCCGTCAAAATCATTTCTTTATCATTTCCTTGAAGTAATAATCATCATATTAATCATTTAGCTCTGCAGATGCGGTAGTTCTTTTGCCTTAGCGTCTCGGTCTGATTGGATTTCAATGAAGAAATGATCATAAATGTTCTTCCTTGAGCTGCGTCACCCCACTGTAGTCTGTAATGGACTGGCCTGAGGTCTCCCTGCAAACAAGCGGCTGCTGGAAGAGAGTAGGTGAGTTGTGTTTAGTCTCTTTGTTAAAAAAATTAGTCAAAGTTAAAAAGATGTTTGGTGTCTAGTACTATGGCTGGGACCCATATCCTGTTGATGAAGTTAGGTCCTGTTCTGAGCATTATTTGTGGCTATAGAGTGGCGTTTTGGTTGAGGTTAGTTTATGGCTCCTCAGACCGCTGTGTATTTCTATCGTGCGGTCGTTACTCAAGTTGGTATAACTAAAGAAGAAAGCGGACGGCAACATTCATCTCTCGAGGGGGGTGTCTAACTCGGTGTTATAGTGTTTTTGACCCTAAATTAATGTTATGCCGGAATATCCCTTTAACACACCTGCACCACCAGGTAACTCTGGATCCGTCTCCAGATTTATCTCCCTTTTTTTCAGCCTTGATTTGACAGGAGAGGACAGAAGACGGAGCAGGGTGGTGCGATAGTTTCTTTTAATTTGCTTAATTTTGAGGTAAAACTGATGCTAACTGCAGCGATGGAAAACCGATCTTCCACTTCAGTTGGTTTCCCAGCAAAGAGACAGAGTTACGGCCATAATGCACTTACTACAAGCAAGTACCCCACATAACCTCATTTGACCTCACAAATGTTGACTTTTTAAAATCCTATAAACACAGAGATGAGGAGAAAAACACAACTGTCTATGCATTTTCCAGAGGATTTCCCTAAATGAACAGTAAGAGATGCATGCACACACACAGAGAGAACATAGCGCCTTATGTTATTCATGTCTTTTGTATTAATGCCAGGAAACTGTCTGAACTCTGGTTCTCCCAGTGGTACAGGACCTTCACCACTCATCAAGGAGCTTTTTCCAACTTGATGCAGTCATCATCTGGGATTTGAGCTGAGTGAAATCGAGCGTACAGACCGCAGGAACTTTCTGGGATTTTCTCTCATTCCCATATTTTTTCCAACGCTCATTCCCTGGGAGTTTTTACAAGACAGTGTACAGCTTCTGTGTTTTGGGGAGCACAGATATCAAGAGGGAATACGATCGCTTACTTTGTGGTCAAACTGGCTCGGTTACGACCCAGCTGACGGACATGGATATGAGTTACAGTGTGCATCTGTGCCACAGCTGTATCAAACCAGTTATGTGTTCATCTGGAAACAGGAGATGGAGGGGGAAACCGTTCCGACAGAGTGATGGACTGCAGTTTATTGTGTTCATCTTTCTTGCGCAGGAATTCCCACTTCAAAGGACATGAAGTGACTTCCTGCGAGCGAGGTGTTGCATAACAAGCAGTCAGTGTCTCCAGACCTTTAGGCTGAGCAGCATCACAGTCGGAGCTTTTCCGATTAACTCCACACACTTTGAATTTTACCCTCAAAGCTGCGGGTTTATAATTCATGAGTCACTAATTAAAAATGTATTTATCAGCATTTTAACTAAGCTAATTTATCTTGGCTTTTTACACACAGTGATCGCTTTCAAATACAAACATGTGCAACCAGAATAATTCAGACCTCATCGTAAGCTGAATAGTGTTGTGCTAATAATGATAGAACAGTATAATGTACCATCTTTACCAGATACCAGAGTATTTTCAGAGACGGTCATAATCCAACAAAGGTAATCCATGATGATTTATGTAATAACTTAAGTGATATAGTCTGATTTCTGTTGTTTGCTGACAATACCATCTTTGTGAGGGTCTGTAATAGGGCTGGGCGATAAACTGAAATTAACGATACCAAAATTTACGTCAATAAATGACGTTGTTTTGCGCATATTGGTATATTAGTTGTAGATCTCGCAATGGTCTTGAAATGATCAGAGAAGCAGAGAAACACATATGGGGATGTCGCTTGTATTTGGTTGTTGTGAAACTGTGCTGAGGTTTTGCGCAGATATCCAATGAGGTAGGGCTGGGCAATAAACCAAAAATGTACAGATACCAAAATTTATGACAATAACCAATGTCATTTTGCTCATATCGGTATATTCGGTGTCAAAAAAATGAATAAATAAAATTTGGTTTTGGATGTGTGTAGGTAGGCTTTGGTCTCATGTCCCTTTAAGACGCTGTCCTACGTCAGAGACGTGACTCCACCCCATCCAGTCCAAAGACAGGTGAGGAGATGGGGGACAGTTCGGCTTAAGTGAACAAAGTTAATGTGGGAGGGGATGAGCAGCTTGTGGAGTAGTTCTCATCCATTTATTGTTATCGAGGTGAACTGCTCAATATATCGTGATATTGATTTGAGGCCATATCGCCCAGCCCTAGTCTGTAAACCAATCAGAGACTGTATCTATGATTGGTTGCCTGCCCAAGAAGACAAAATCAGCAAAACAGTAAAGGTATACTTCTCGTTTAGTCACAGAAAACCGGTTTGATAATGGATTAACAATAATGGCATTGGCATCAAGACAACTGTAATAATTCTGATCCTAAATTATAAACTTGTAAAAGTTTTTGGCAGTTTCACCGTGTTTGTTTGAGTCTTGGAAAGTAGTCAAACGTATATGAAAATTGGAGATTTCTACCTCTACAAAGTTCACTCAGACTGCCTGGTCTCCACATTATAAAGTTGTATGAAGTCTCCTGTTAATATTTACAATCCCTTTGTGTTAAATCACGATATTTCATAACGCACTCTTTCTACAACCCCTGCACAGGACGGACACTTCGACTTCCACGAGGAAGTCAGCTCCACTGATGTGTTTTTCTCTCTGTGTCATTCGCTCACCGAGTCCCGATTTCCCCTTTCTCTGCACCGGGCCCTCTGTGACCTCTGACCTCAGAGCTGTGAGTCCCCCAGCTGTCTGCACTTGGCTCATTTCAGTTGTTGTGCAGCAGTGAACTTGCACTGCCCTTCCAACTATTCTTACAGCTGTTATTGTTTAGCTCAGCCAACACAGATAACTTCGCATGAGCATCTCCAATAATGAATTCATTCTTACGGTGGAGCATTGTCGCAGTACAATAACCATTAAATCATCACAGATATGAATAAACACGGTGGACCGTCCATCCTGCATGATGCATTGTTAAATTTGAAGCGAGCAAGTGTCATTGCATGCAGGAAAAAAAAGATATTATGAAAGTTTGTTAACATAGAGTGAGAATGAGAAGTACTGATGCTAAATACTGGATTGGACTCTTGTTTGCACGGAGTCAAAGGAAGACTGTGGTTCCTTTTCTCAAACCAACTCCAACACGTCTTTTTCTGTAGGTCAGACCGATCTGGCATCATGTTGCGTTGACATAAGTTTAAAGAAAAAATAAAACCTCAGAGGAAGAGCGTCTCAAAGTTTTCGGAAATATGAGTCAGGAAGTCACTGTCTCTCGCCGGGCTCTGTTGTTAATATCAGCAACCCTTTACAAAGGCAACTTCCTCAGATACACGCTGCACACCAACAGGTGCATCCACTCTCACTGAAAAAACAGATGTCTCTGGGAATATTTAGGAACGGAGAGGAAGTCCTAAAATATATCACCTTTCAATCCTGGAGAGGAAGATGAGTAAAAAACAAAGAGGGGTACTGTGGCCGAGGTTGGTGGGTTGAATTTAGGAAACATGTGCGCTCGACGGGCTGTGAAAGCCTGGACTTCAAATAGTGTTGGAAGGTATGAACAAAATCTTATATCACAGTATGAGTAATTTCAATTCACAGTCAAGGTGTATAATGCAGTATGTTTTTCACTCTGTAAATTCAAATACTGTCGCATTTCTTCATTTTCCCTTTATTTTTAAACTCAGATTTTTTTACTAATGCAAACAAAATTACAGACGAGTCTGGCGATTTTTTAATCATATGGCGTACCTTTGGCCAAAGACTCTGCCAAGCTTTTTTGTATGAGAGGAGCTGCTGCAACTTTTTGGTCCTGCGACACCCATCTTAGTAAAGCTCGGCGTGTTTCATCTTTAGGTGGTGGAAGATGTTGCTGGTGTTTCTACCTTCAGCAAAGACAACCACACATCACTCTTTGCTTTGTATTTTATTTTATTTTTTATCATTGTTGGATTTTCTAAATCCAAAGAATCTCCGGACAACCGATGTCGCGACTCGCACCCTTTTTTGTAACAAGTTCCTCCTCCTCTTTCTCATGTTGGGTGGGCCGTTTTCTCGGTACTGCCACTAATCTCCGCGACCGCCATGACCACCGTCAAGCTGTTTCTTCTTTGTCAAAACTATGCCAAGCAGTCTGCTGACAACCGGGTGACTATAGGAAGCGCACCAAAACCTGACGGAGCGAACAAACTCCACACGACATGCTGGTGAATATACGGAAATGCACCCAAACGGATGAGCTTCGACTTTT